TACTGCACAATAACTGCCTCAGAGAAACTCAGACACGCTGTGAGAGAACCCCACACGTATTTTAGTGGGATGGATGTGAAGCATTTCAAACAAAGGTAATAATCTTTTAATAAAAAATATGCTGGCGATGCAGCACGTCAGGCCCTAATAGAATATTAAGAATAGTTGGAGCAAATGAATGGATACAATGAGTTTAACAGGGGATGCTCTAGGAGTGAAAGCAACGCAAACACCAAGGAATTGTGGGTAACAAGAAAATGAGAGTGTGAGAGTGTGCTAATGATTGATGCAGACAAGCAATGAGTAACACCAGAGCTCACCGTCAAACAAACTGCTTGTGGCACTAATACTCGTGCCCAATTACCAATTCAGAAGGAAAGTAAAAAGCAGTTTCAGGAGAGTCAGGGTGGGAAATCTCCAATTAGCACCAATTAGTGAAGTTGCTTCCTAGAGTGGAATTCTGGGGACATTAAAAAAAAAAACAAAAAATCCTCCCAGGATGCCTGATGGAAGCATTTATTTACCAGGCGGTGAAACTCCTAGAGTATAACTTGATGAGGATTTGTGCCTATGGGACATGAATGGAGGTACTAGTTGGAACTTGCCTGCTCGATTTGACTGGTCAATCATGGGCTGTACTATTCTTCTTCTGGCATTAATAAACCTGAAACAGAACAGAGAAGCCCAATCATCTAAGGCGGTTTCCGTGCCCCGTGAGCACTTTCGCGTGAACGCTGAGGAGAATACAACATGGTCAAACATCTCCTGAAAATTCTCAATTTTTCAACCCAAAGGCAATTTTCCCTTTCCAGCGTTCAAAAATAGTTGACTGGATCGTCTCCATCACCTCCCAACCCACTGGAGGGTGACTTGTGACAGAGACTCAGGGAAGGTGGGGAGGGTTGGGGGAGAAAAGCGTTCCTTGAGAAAATGTCTATTAATTTGCCATCGTGCTTCTGCTTCTTGAACAAGCTGGAATCTGGTTAAAGTTCACAGGCTGGAGGATTCCCCCCCTTCCCCTAAACCCCCCATCATAGGGAGATCTAGCTTCCCCTTTGCAGCTGGTCATAAATGGAGACCAGGCTCTGGCCCTGTGCTTTCACAAGGTATTGTTAGGTCAGCAAAGCCATCAATTAGGCTGTCTGAAGTTTTATCACCAACACAGCAGTAATAAGTGCTGGCCAGAAAGACTTCTGCTCTTCGGCAACTCCCGCAGTTTAAGCCTGTAAAGTTAGGGGTCATTTAGAGGTCAGTGCCAGCTGGGGGCGGCCTTTCCAGTCTAGGCTAGGACGCCCAGGGCAGGGATAAGGTAACTGCCAACCATAAACCCAGCCACCTTTCAACCCACTAGAAAGACAGAGCCTCAGGTACACATGGTTGATATTAGAGCCCAAGAAACGTTCTCAAATCAGGTGGTGGCTGAATCACAGGAATGTAAGGAGCAGCAGTTACTTCGTCTAGAAGCCTGGATCTAATTTTGTGGGAAATCCAAAAATAAGTGCCTACTTCGTGTTACTTTAATGTTTAATAATGCCCATCAAATATTCATGTACAAACAGAGTAAGATGATAAGAAATCTCCTTTATTTCTCCAAATTTAATAAAGACAAAACCATTTTCTACCATTTACAAGTTACCCTTGTCCCTGTGCATTTCATGATGCACATTGCCCGCACATTGGAGCTGATGTACAGGATTCACTTGGCTGTGCATTTTGGCGGGGGGACACGCAGGGGGGGGGCAGGATGCCTAGAAGACAGCTAGTGCTTCTTCAAAAATATAAAAATATACCCACTTACAACATTTCCCAGTATTTCTAGTCTCAAATCGTAAGTGCAGGGGGACTTCATGATTAATGAGTCCGCATGGGGCCACAGGCAGGAACTGAAAACCCATTCTTTGAAATTAGCCAGAAAAATTCTAGTGTGTGTTGGCAGCTCTGCGTTCCTAAGAAGCTGAAGTCCCTTCCTAGGAGGACAGCAGCCCACACTTTGGTCCGGCCTCCTGGGAGCACTCTAGTGGGAATACAGTTAGGCCAAAGAATAAGAGCTGCAAGAAAAACCAAAGGAGTCTTTTGCATATGGTGTTTGTTTGCAAAACAATGAACTTCTTTATTACTTAAGCAAGTATATCTCAGTTGTCAAAAAAATGCTACACCCCCTGGGGGGGGGGGGGGGGGGGGGAGAAGTGACAGGCTGTGAGAGGTGAAAACAAGAGGAGAGTTGAAACTGCACATTTATTCCCACCTGGCACTTAAGCGTCACTGAGGACTATCTGACCAGATCACAAGGCGTTCCAGAAGCATCTCTTAAATCGGAAAAGGAACTTAATTATCTACTCTTTCCCCACTGTTTTTACTGGGAACAAGGAGGACTGACCCGGTGATTTGCACCCCCAGGAAGTCTCTTTATCAGCTCAGGTTAAGACCAACTGGGAGGCTCAGGAGAGCCCGGAGAAACCTTTTCTCTCCTCCTTGAAGTTTCTAAGGGAGGACACACATGGCAGAGGTTTCACCTCTTTTTATGTGCTACTAATCCTGGTTTTGTTTTTTCCTATGGGCCAACTCTTTAGGTAAAACGAATTGCTATTTTTTCCCTTTTTAATTTCACCCTTTTACTCTTTTATTATTTACATCTGGAGGTTGTTCCCTTATTTATGTCTTTCTCTCCAGTTCCCCCAAACACTCCCTTCCTCGCAGAGCTGCAAGGCATCATGGTTCTTAGTTCTCAGCAGGAGAACTCCACACTGTCTTCAAACAAATAATTACGGGGAAGGTTAGAGGTTCACTCAAAGGTCATTTCTTTGGATACTCGTCAGAATGTTTACATTAGTAAAAACGGGGGTCCGCTCAAAAGGTTGTTCAATGGGGGACACAAAACAATGCAGGACATTAAAAAAGCATTCTGTGCGCTAGCAGGTCTTTATAGAAGCGCTGAACTTGGAAATGCCACTCCAGTCTTACATTTTCGACTAGTTACCATAGCATGGCCTGGACGTTCACTAGCAGTTATGGCGATGGCCTTTCCGTGCCCAGTTCTACTAAACAAATATGCATAGAAGCCTCTGAAGGTTTTCAACTAGATCCTTTTACAAAGGGTACGGGGAGAGTCTGCTCTTTTGACATGGGTTCCATTCAGCTTCTCTGAATTTTTGTTCTCAAACAATGTTTTTGATCCATAGGGCTATATCTTGCCAGATTCATAATTCTACCATATTCTTTCAAATCACACAGAATTTTTAAAACATATGGGCCCCAATTTTTCAGAAATCTCTTAACTTACAAACTCCTGCCAATTGTCAATGCCCCTGATTTTGGGATATCTTTTGTAAATACTGTAGATGTTATAAAAATGAACAATTAATGAGTTGACTGTGAGTTAACACTAAAAAAAAATGAGACTACCCCACCGTACTGATGATCCACAGACCTCTCTTGGAAAACATATCAATGTACATAAAATGGAGCCATTTAATTATAGATTTAAAAAAAAATCAAAGTAGGAGTAACTTTTATTTCTTTAGTATTACTAAGATAAAATTTCCAAATGCAGTCTTTCCCCAAATTACATGACATGAAATTTTTTCCACTTCCTCTGATCTATATTTTAAAATGACCTTATTCAGTGCTCAAGCAGTAAACAGAATATCAAGTTTTGATTCTACTTAAAATTTGAAGAGTCTAAGTTGAAAAACCAACTGATCTTCCATCTTTCAAGGTCCAAGCTCCATTCATATGGAAAAATGCAACTCACTGGTTCAAAGACAAAAGACTTGTCTTAAAAAGACTCAAAAGGTTTTTTGGATATTAAATGGGTCTTACAAAATAACATTTTGATGAGTTAAGTGTAAATGAATCAGACACATATGGATTAAGTTATCCTTGAATTTCACACGGGTTTAAAAAATAAGGGGAAAAGAGGGTCTTGGCAAAAACATTTTGGACTTTGCCAAACCCAAAACATTTGAAAAATTGCTGAAGACATCCAACTAACCAAAATGCAGCAAGCTGCACCCAACTTTAATGAAAACCCCCACAAGTTATTTCCAATTCAAAGACTGTTAAGTTTTTCATCTGTATCTGATATTAAAAATTTTTCTAAGTTTTAATGTCATCCCCAGAATGATTTTGAAGTTGAGGATATATAATACACTTCTTTATTGGTATAAACAATTTAACCTGAAATTACAAAGTCTTTTAGAAATTAAATAGCTCTTAAAAACATCCTGAGATTTATAAAACTTGTGTGTAAAATGTGCCATATATGATAAATGCCATAAATAAAATGTGCTAGTAAGCCTAGTGCCTTATCCAGATTTCACTTAGCAAAAATTTTCATTAGCCTCATTGTGACTTTTTTTAAGGGCTACAGATAATTCCATTAGTGACTCCTTAGGGAATGAGTACCCTAAAGTGCACTAGTTCCATTGATTTGTATTGAACACAAAGTTAGTATCCAGGCTCACACAAAGACTCTGGAGAGTATCTACTAAGACTATCTACTTTCTCACTAAATTTTATGAAAATAGAAAATGCATTAGTATGTGCGATTCTTAAAAATTATATACTGACTGTTAGCTTAAAAATAACTCAATTATAGAAATAAATTCAATGACTTTCCAAGAATCACGAGGCCTTTCCGAGTCAACTTAGAGATGAAAAAAAGAATATATTAAAAAGAATAAACCCAAGGGAGCAAAACATCATTGAAATCCCACCCTGCTGTCTTGCTGGAGAGATAGCTCCGGGAGACCTCCCCACCCCCAAACCCCACCTCAGGCCCCCCAACAGAAGAGCCAAACTTTTCAGCTTTGCATATTTTTCTGCCACTGAAATCTGACCATCGTGGTTTTTCTTTGAAAGGTTTTTCACTCCAAAGCACATTTCAGATTGATAGAAGTAGGCTTAGGTGTCATTGCTGCTTGTTGGTTGATTTCTTTTCTTTCCTTTCTCCCCCTCCCCCCCCTCCCCCCCCCCCCCCCCCGCCTTCTTTTTAAATGACTGATAAATCCCTTCTTTCTGGTTCACTAACTTCATGCCACACCTGGTAACCAACTTCTTTAGGCAGCATTCCTTTTGTTAGAAAGTACAGGCCTCTGTGGAGTCACCTGGAAGGCCGCCAGCCCTGAACGCTCTGAGGAGGAACCAGGAATCCCTGCATGGAAGCTTTTCCATGAATTGGTCCGGTCCAGGAAGGGGGTTGAACTGTTGAAGAGGGATCAGATTAACTTGGAAGAGGTGTTAGAGGCCGCTTGGTGACTGGGGACCTGTTGAAAAATGCAAAAGTTCGGCTTCTCCACTTTCCCCAGCCGTGGGACTCCTCAGGGAGGGTGCCCATTCATGAAGCTTGCTACTGGTTGGCCTCAGAAACAAGGAAGCCTCAACCCTGACAAATCAGTTCACAGGCTTCTTCACTGTTTTTCTTAGTTCACACACACAAGAAGCAAGTTTTTTTTCTCTGTGCTGTGGTTATGGCTAAGAGTGGGATTTTCTCAGTAAGATACATAAAAATGGCTCAATCGGTGAACTAAGCAGGTTTAATGTCTTTGAACATGTACTCAGGCCCATGAATGATGGGGTCACGGTGCCAACGTTAAGTTTTTCATTGATGGCCACACAAGGAGTCTTTTCTCACAGACAACTGTGAACAAAGTAAGGTAAATAAAG